TATGGTCTAGGATGTCGGGTTCAGGGCAGGATTTTGCACAGAGAATCATTTTGAGAACCCCCACTCCCGAAAACTTGTACGGCTTCGGCCCTAAACCACAAAACAACAAAAAATAATAGTAATAAATAATCATGATAGCAATAGCAAGAGCAAGACTAGTCACAGTAAGACTAGCAATTCATCCTTCAAGCCACCGACCCTAAGCCGATCTGTGTCCCCTAAGCCCTAAACTCTAAGCCGATCTGTGTCCGACGCAGGGCAACTGCACAGGAAGTTGAAGCTTCGTCGGACGCGGCAGGCAACGACCGAAGCTTGGCCCAAGAAGTGGCTTAATGTTTGAGGGTTTAGGGGTTTAGGGTTTTAGGGTTTCGGGGCTTCTGCACGTAGGATTTCAGGGTTTGTGGCCTGGGATCGGACATGGGTGTCGGTGAATGACGGCCTTGAAGCGATTGGTGAGGCGCTGCACTAACCCCTGATTGTTCACAGCTCAAGCCTAAACACTCTCCCAGAACCCCAGAGAGGATCTGCCTACCGTCAACCCAGAGCCCTAAACGGGGATCCGAGATGGGTAGTTATAAGTAGTGTTATAAGTCCCCTAAAATGGGTTATAACTATAGTTACCCTACTTATAACCCCCCTACCCTACTTATAACCCCCTTATAACTACCCATGAACCTCTAAGCGGGAGAGGACTGGTGTACGTAACCATGGTCTACGGCCGCATGAACCGCTTCATCAGCGGCTGGGCTCTGCGGGCCAAGACCTTGGGCATCGTGAACTTGGTGTTGGCCACTTGGCAAAACGCTAAACATCCCTAAGCTATTCTTAGATAGCCAATGGGAGAACTTTAAACTTTTTGGTCTTATATACTAAGTCTATCCTAAAAAGTTTGAACTTTTTTGGGCCTGGTTGTTGAAGAAGAGAGTATTGCTTTGGAGGGGCGGCAATGCCAGGATCTCATAAGAAGAAGGCATGTTACACCAGGAGTTGTTTCAATACAACCCTACGGGATTACTACTGAAAGTCTTGATTTCTGTCACAGGTCGAATGATGCTATGTCTAGAACATTCTGCAACAAGGCCATGCCGCCCCCCGAAAGGTCAATATCAAAAGCAGTACTCTGTTAGGGTCGCTTTCTAGCTCCCCAGATGCAGTACGACACCCAAAAAAGTTACCCCAAAGAGGACCCTAATCTAGAGCACTACCCACGTGCGCTGTTGTTGGGAAGCTTACTCACCTTCGATCTGAGGGAGGTCGCTCAACCTGTCGAGCAATTTGATACGATGAGGTTGCGGACATACTGTCGGGGCAGGTGATTGTCAGTAGCGCGTTGCTGTATGCCACGAGTATAATTACCGGGACTTGAAAGGAAAATTATCTCTCATTACTCAGATCTCGATATTCAGGCATGTTTCAGGGTTTACAGTAGGTTTAGGGTTGGAAGGATTTCCAAAGGCGCTGCGAAGGTGTGACAGGGTTAATCTTCGAGCCATCTTTTTGCTGCAACCAGCCCTGTGTCTCGTAGCGCGCTTGTACCATTGCCCTAAACCCTAAAGCCTAACCCCTAAACCGTAAACCCTAAACGCCGCTTCGTTCACGAAACTGAGTCTTCGGAGAAAGAAAGCACCATCATTCATTCAGGGCGCTTTTGGGAGCATCGAAGCTTGCTGTTGCATTCTCACCAGTACTAGGTTGCCCAGTAGTACAGTAGTACCCTTTTGCACTTTTTATTTGGGGGTCTCCTTATTAAAGCCGAATATTAGGAGAAAGGGTACCCTAATTATTAAGCGGTTACTGGGGAACCTAGAGCATTCTCTTTGCCGCGAATAAAGAGGTCTCAAGAAGTAGTATGGAATAGTATTTCTTAGGGTTCTCGACCGTAATTACTAACTACAATAGACCATGTCCCGGACCCGTTAGATATCGTAAGCCCGCTATATTATGGATCCGTTGTAGAGCCCTTACAGTAGCCCCTTAAAGAGGCCGATCATGATTCTTAAGGCCCTTCGGTCTTTTTCTGCTCTGGCCGTGCTCTCCGAGTCATGTCCAAGATCCGGGTTGGGCTCTAGCTCGAAGCGCTTGGGGCTGAGAGTTTCGGGTTTAGGGGCTTGGGCTTTAGGGTTTAGGGGTTTAGGGTTTAGGGCTTAGGGGCTTGGGGCTTCAGGTGTAGATTGGATACTGCCCCCAGTCAGTAACCGTTGGGTAACATTCATTATATGGATATATCTATAAGGCCCATTTTTTGTAGCCCTGTTCTAGCCTGTTACTGTATGGGGGCAGTACCCAAGGTTTAGAGGAGCCAGTTTAGGGGCTGAGTGTTAAGGGTCCATACTAGGCACCCAGAGTTTCAACCTTAGATCAAGGCCTTCCTGAAAGAGACTGAACGATCCTCCCAGGCAACGCTGGATGCGGAGGTGCCTTTTTGAGGGACTTGATTCGTGTATGGGTTCTGAGCAGTACCCTGTTGTCACGTTTCTTTTTGGGGTCCCTTGTGAAAGCCACATCGTAGCAAAAAGGGTGCCCTTATTATCAAGGGTTAAGGGTTTAGGGTTTTGGCTTTCGGGGTCTGCAGAATGAATTTCCAGCCGTGAAGGCCGAAGATTCAGACGCTAACCTGGCATCCAGAGCTGGCAGTCGTTGAGTTGCATGCACCCAAACCCCCTAGGCCCCTAAAGCCCTAAAGGCCCGAAACCCCTAAAGCCCTAAACCGTGAAGCCCTAAAGCTCTAAGCCCCGAAAGCCCTAGAGCCCTAAAGCCCTAGGCCCCTAAAGCCCTGAAACCCTAAACCCTAAAGTTTCCCTAAAGCACTCAACCCACAAACCCTAAAGCCCTAACGCCCTACAGCCCTTCCCCCCTGAGCCCCAAGTTCCAACCAAGGGCCTTCGTGTAGGCGAAGCGCTGTCACAAGCCTGGATGAACCTTCAAAGGGTTCAGGGTGTAGGGTTTAGGGTGCCGTAGTCCTCTTGGATAGGTTGCACTATGCATACTCATCGATGTCATCTCATACTACAGTATATATAGATTACTGAAGTATGTAGGAGGGATGCCCGATCTTGGTCCACCTGGAAGAAGAGGTGCCCCCCCTTGAGGCTTCGATAAGGAAGCCCTCTAAAGGCCTGGCATGGGAGTCGGTTTAGGGGTTTAAGGTTGTTCCTATCCCCTTGGAAGTCCCTGTTGCTTATTGTGACTATAGTATCATACACCCCAAAACCCTATTCTAATTATTAAGGCCCTTACATTATGTATTCATTCCACAGAATTACTCACTGGAGCCCTGAACCGGGCGCCTTACACGTCAGGCCTACGATCTCTGCCAGACTCACCACGTCCCGGAGCTCTGCGTACGTGCCTCCGTGTCCGTGCTGAGCCCCGGCAGTATCTCCCCGGTTCTTGTTAAGGAACTTAGTTCAAGTTACCGTGGTAGGATCAACAGTAGATAGTATAGATTCCGTATTTCAGTTGCCATAATCGGATCTACAGTACAAAATTGGGATTCCGTATTATTGCAACTTAGATTAGATTTTCACCAAGGACCCAGTCACCAGGACCCCCTTAGGCGCCGCAGTGGCTTGGCAACTCTGAACCCTGAGGCTGAACAGCCTGAACCCAATACTGAACCCAATACCCTAATTAAGGAATATGCCTTAAATCATAATAACAAGGCCCCCATAATTTAAGGTATATTCCTTCACTAAGGTGTATTGGGTTCTCTGGGAACAGCCTGAACCCCTAATGTAGGAACCTGGTTTTCGAAACCCTGGGTCTTTATTAGGGTTCTTAATATGAATCCTAGTATGTTGGGGGTGTAGGCCCAGGGTTTCTTAATCAGGTTCCTACATTAAACCTTTCAAACCCTCAACCCCCAAAGCCCTAAATCCCGAAACCTTGATGCCTTAAACCTTTAAAGAGGCCTTGGCTTTTTCATGGCTTAGGGTTTAGAAGACAAAGGGCTGGATTCGAGTTTAAGGTTCAGTGCCGATGACCGTTTAGGTCAAAATGTGCATGGGACCGGATTTTCGGCTGTTTCCCGTAAGTAAGGGAAGGGGACAGAGCTTTCATTGTAGAGGCTCTAGTCTTGATCTTCAGGGTCTTTCAATCCCCCCTAACCCCTGCCTTAAACTGCTTCCTTTATGCTGGGGATCACTGGTACTAATCGTTCAGACCTCTGTCGTACGCATGTTGGATGTTTGCCCTTCTTTTGACTCCCTAAACCCTAAACCCTAAAGCCCTAAACCCTGCCTGAAAGTCGGACGATGCAGGAACAAATACACCTTACTGTTGGTGGCACTTCAACTTGGCCTCCTGGCAAGGACAAGCCCCTAAGCCCCCTAAACCCCTATTCCCTCTAAAGCAATAAACCCTAAACCCTCTAAAGCAATAGTAATAAACCCTAAGCCCCTAAGCCCCCTAAGCCCCTAAACCCTCTAAAGCAATAGACCCAAAAGGCCTCGAAACCCAAGACCCCTGAAGCTTAAACTCTGCTAGAAGCGACCTGGGATTCAGGGACCCCTTTTGTGTTGAACTCACGGGCGCGAACAACCCCGAGGTAACACCGAAGCCTGAAAGAATTGTAGTACTATTCCATGGATTCTAGGGTTTAGGGTTTAGGGTGCTATTCCTTAGGGCTCCTTATCCTAGCCATACTACTGTACGTATAACATACCCCAAACCTCGCGCCGATTACCACGGCCCCCTTTGTTAGTGTGCCTCTAGCATAAACCCAAAACCATGCGAGTTGGACTCTGCGCCCACTATCATGGTGCCATAATATACCCCCGAAACCCTAGTGGAATCAGTACGGTTATACATATCTATATTATATATATATATATATATTTATTTATTTATTTATTTTTATATTTATTTTTATATTTTTATTTATAGACATATGTGTATATATATATATACATACACAAATATTGTGTTACACTGGAGTAGCATAGTAAGTATAGCAGACTATAGTAGAATGCTAACACTTTGCCCAGTGAGGTCTTGATGTCATGTGGCTGGACTTCGACATCTTCCTGGTCCACGCAGCTGCGTTTCAGAGCGTCGAGCTTTTCTTGGCGAGGGCCCTTCCAAGACCTAAGATCTCAAACCCACGGCCCCAAAACGCTGAGTCTTATAGAGAGTAAATACCGAAGAAGCTGAATATAGAGGCCTGAATAGCTGGTATTCGTACTCCTTCTCTACGGTTTACCCCGACACCCTATTCGAAGCATCACGGCGCCATTCCAGACCCCAGGAGGATGGCTCCTGTAAAGTATCCTGTAGTAGTATAATCTAGGACCCTGATTAAGAAACCCTGGTCCTGCAACCCCAACATATATATATACAGGGATCCATATATAAAGATCCATAATAAATATATCAAGAACCATAATAAAGACCCAGGGCTTCTTAATCAGGTTCCTACATCTGGTCCGAAACTAAGGGATCTACTTTTTTGATTTTCGGGGAGGTCTGGCCAGTTTCAGGTTTTGAATCCACCACATCGACTCCAGCTATGAAGTAATATAGGGGCCTAAATAATTAGCAATACTACGTGGGGGTTCCTTGTTATGAGTATGGTATAGTTTACCCACAACCCTATTCTAATTATTAAGGCCCCTGAGCCATGCATTTCATACAGAATTCCTCCCTCGACCATGCGTAGTCGGATTTGTGCATGCTGAGGGGTGTATGTAGCCACTTGACTGCGACCAAAGACTAAGCCAACTGGTGATTCAGAGAGAGAGAGAGGGAGGGAGAGAGAGAGAGAGGCAGAGGGGATGTCGGAACTAATATCTGCATCGATATCTGTATCTATATGTACATCTAATTATACCTATACCTATATCTATGTATGTATGTATACATATATATATATATATCTACATATATCCTGTTTCCCACGAAGCACCAGTAAGTATAACCTAAGAGCCTCCGCACCCGAGTTTGCGAAGCGCCGGTTCCTTCCCGTAACTTAGGGATCGCTCCTCCTGACAATTCAGGGTTTAGGGTTTTTGGGTTTGGGGGTTTTGGGTTTAGGGTTTTTGGGGTTTAAGGTTTTTGGGTTTTAGGGTTTTTGGGTTTTAAGGTTTTGGGTTTGGGGTTTTTGGGTTTAGGGTTTATAGCGTTTAGGGTTTATAGGGTTTAGGGTTTTTGGGTGTAGGATTGTTGGGTTTTAGGGTTTTTACGCGTTTTGGGTTTGGGGTTTCGGGTTTGTAGTTGTGCTATAATATACCCCCGAAGTCCAAATCTAAGTAGTGAGGCCCCTCCAATAGGGTTTTTGGGCTTTGGTGTTCGGTGCCTTTGGGCTTACAGAGCCAAAAGGGTTTAGGATTGAGGGTTTAGGGGTTTAGGGTTCAGGGCTTTACAGAGCCAAACCGGCCCCCCTAGACTTGCCAGATGTGTGTTTTGCAAAGCCTGCAGACCCCAATCCTCCGAACCCTAAAGCCCTGAAAGTGCCTACTGCAACCCTCAACCTGGGAACTTGAAGGACACTACAGGTGGGGAGTTTAGGGTATATAGGGCTTCTATAAGGTATATAGACCTTCTATAAGGCTCCTATAACGGTAACTACCGGTAGAGGGAAGTTGAAGACTTAGGCTGAGAAACCTACACCCAAAGCCCCAAAGCAACCCCAAAACCCTGGTCAAACTGTCCGGCTCCACAAACCCCAAAAGCAACGCAAGGTGCGCCATCCAACTTCGGCGATCACTCGGGCAGTCCAAGACTACGAGCTTCTCATGGGCTACGTACCTGCGCTGCGCTCATGGGGGTAGTGGTAGTAGTAGTAGTAGTAGTAGTAGTTGCAGTAGTAGTAGTAGTAGTAGTAGTAGGAGGGTCCCTCTTTTTGCGTCCTGAGGGTGCCGTACTTTGTTTGAGACTTAAATAGGGGACCCTAATTTTAGAGAGCCACTCATGGGTTCAGGGTCTGGGAGTCGGGGTCTCAGGGTTTAGGAATTTAGGGTCCAGGGGTGCCAATATTATTTCTTAGGGTTCCTTGCTATACTTATGCCACAAACCTATTCTCATGATTAAGGCCAGGGGATCTTAGGGTTTAGGGGCCATTTAGGGGGTCCAGGGCGGTTTCGCGGGTTGAGCTTGAAGCTAGAGCCTCGACATCCAGAATGTAGGGACCTGATTAGCATACCCTGGCGCTAGAACCCCAAAGCATTAGACTTCATACCAAGATCCCGAATAAAGACCCTGGGTTTCCTAGTCAGCTGCCCTTTTCTTACCAAAAGAGAAAGCGAAAGCGAGCTGTGAAACTCAAGGGTCAAAAGCACGCAAAGTCCTATGTGTATCGCGCTTGAACCCCATGCAAACGATGCTTTCAACATCAGACAGCCTCGCTGGGGGGTGCAAAGACTCCAGACAAGTCCTGGGTGGGTTGACGATTCAGGGTTCAAGGTTCATGGCCTGGAGGTTAGGATGTCATAAAATCGCCGACATACCTACTAATATCGTTTCTTGGGGGAGGGGGGGGAGTGAGGGTCCTTCATGTAGATATACTGATACCTCTCCCAGAACCCAGAAACCCTATCCGAAGCATTATGGCCCCTATATCACACCCGTATGGTATCTGTTCTAATGAAAAGCACAGGGCCCTCATTATGGAACCCTGCAAACTGTAAAGGAGGCCCCGATGTTAGACCGCGCTGTTCAGGCGGGGTTGAATTCCGGCGAGGCTCTGAACCTTTGGACACGCGGGAATCAGGAAACAGTCTTCTGGAGTTTTGGAGTTTAGGGCTTGAGGTTCAGGAGCTTTTCGGGTTTAGGGCTCAGGGTTAAGAGTTTTGGGCTGTGGGTTTAATATAGGGGCCTAAACAATTACCAACACTATTTTAGGGGTTCCTTTTTATAATTGTAGTATACCATACCCCCAAAGCCTATTCCAATTATTAAGGCCCCTACATTAATTAGGGCCCTTGGGGCAGGTTTTGAGGGGCTCGGCATGATGCTGAGGACCTGGATTCCGACTGTCTTTGCAACGGATTCTTCTACATCCGCGCCTCGCAACTAAACCTAAAACCCTAAACCTTAAACCGTCTGGGTCACCGGAGGTTTCGGGCTATTTTGCCATAGCCGTTTCCCTTTCTGACAGGCTACGGCGATGTCATCTCTACGATGTAAGGCTTCACTACAGTACTAACGATAGCAATAGCAGCACCAAAGTCATCATCAGGAACAACATCGTGATGCAATCGCCGTCGTCATCATCATCATCATCATCGTAAACTCTAAACCCTAAGCCCCATCATCATAATCACCATCATCATCATCATCATGCAATGACGATCAAAAATGTGTGGATCTGCTCTCAGCTTCGTGGCTCGTCCTAGAATTCTCTGGTCTAGGGTTTAGAGGTTTAGGGTTCCGGGCTCAGGTCCATGCATGCGAAGGCCTGCGGTTTAGGTGAAGGGTCTCTCTCTGAGTACCATCTAACTCCTTAACCCTAGACTTTAAACCTTTAGCGAAAAACCACAAACCCGAAGCGCTTCGGAAGTGGAGGGTTCCCAGGTTTCGTCCTTCGGTTGACGTTCTGGGGATCCCAGCTACCGCGAAGGGCCTCAAGCAAGATGCGCTTTAGTTGGAACCCGAAACCCGAAGGATCCAGACAAGAACCCCTTAACCCTAAACCCCCCCTGGAGGCTTGGAAAAATAAGCCCTCCAAGGACAAAAACCTTAAAGGAACCCCCTTAAAAAAGGAACCCCGGAAAGGAACCCCTATAAAAAAACACGTGCAGGCATTGTCTGCCCGCGGATCTTGCCCTGCAGACTTTTGAATCCCTCGAGTTCACGAGCTTCACCAGGGTTTTGGGTTTGTGGGGTTTGGGGGTTTAGGGTTTTGTGGGGTTTTGGGGTCTGGGTTTTGGTTTCAGGGCTTTGGGTTTAGGGTTGTGTGGTTTGGTTTCGGATTGAGGGTTAAGCCAGGCTGTGGTCGAGCCGTAGAGCTGATTGTTGAGGAGTGCCAGATAAAGGTCAAAAATAAGTAGAAACCGTATTCCCTTCCAGTCCTTATACAGTTAGACGGTGATTTTCCCCAATAGCCATATTCTACTTATTGAGGCCAGCCTTTGCCTTGCAACCCAAAACCATAAACCCCAAACCTCAAAAGCCCAACTTCTTCGGTGGAGACAGCGAGGTGCCCGGCCGCGCACTCACCGTTGGCTCTTTGAGCTCGTGCGGTGGCTCTACGACCATCCGTACGTCGCGCAGCGAGATTAAGGCTTAGGATTTAGGGCTCAGATCCTATGAAGGGTCTTATAAAGGTTCCGACAAAAATTGCCGTTTTTGGTGTTTAAAGTGGGGTGTGCGTTACTTGGAGCAGTATTGGGTGATACGCAGCACCAGGGATTTCTGTGGAGGGTCTTTGGGGATCCGAATGCCCTACAGGCCAAAGCTTAAAAGCCTAGGTCCGAATGTCTCAGCACCCCAAGCCCCGTAAAATTCACAAGAATTCTTCGGCGGAATTCTTTCCGCGAATGTTCGAAAGGCAAAGTACTAGGCTTCAATGCCCGGAAATCCTGATCCCTCCTCAGTGGAAGATTCGATACGGGCTCTTGGATTCTACAAGGGTTCTTTTGTTACAAGGCTTTGGGAACCTCGTGTGTCTTTTTGTTTTTGGCTTGTAGAGCATGTAATATACGGGCCTGAATAATGACCAATACTAATTTCGGAATCCTCATTATATCTATTGCCTAGTAGATCCCAAAGACCCTCAAACCCCAAACCCCGTATTATCCTTTGCTTACCTTCGAAGGGGAGGGGAGAGTTGACATGAAGGAGCATGACCAGCGCGCCATGGGTGCGTTCCTGAACTACACGGAGAAGATCTCTGCCGATCTGGAGGCAGATTTTAGAGAACTGCCCATATTTAGAGCCCTTATTGTACCCTTATCCCCTTAAAGGGAACCCTATAAAGGTACCCTAGTTTGGAGAAGTTAGGGTTCTAGGGGGCTCCGGCGGCTTCGGGTCTGGATCTATCTTCCTTCCGAGTCACGTGCGTAGCTTCTCTTTTCATGAGGGTCCCCCTTTTTATAGGTTCCCCCAATATAGTACACGGCACCCTTATAAAAAGGACTCTAAACGGGACCCTAATTTAGAAGAAGACCCACGTTTTAGCTTCATCAGGGTCGAAGCCCAAGGGGGTCATTCAAAATGGCGGTTTGGTTATGGTCCAATCAAAGGGGCTTCTCCATGTAGGATGGTAGATTCGCCCGGGCCTCAGAACCTGATCGCGTGCAGCCTGACGATTCACCGTCACCTTAAACTCCAGGGAGTTTTGGAGATTTGGAGGTTTTTGCTCAACCTCCAAGGACTGTCAGAGGGTTGTGTTTCCGCCATGACCAGATTCCCAGACCTTCCAATATGCCTCAATGAAATCATATTTGGGATCCTACTACACTTGAAAGTATTAACGGATATTGCAGGTCTGGGTTTGTCAGAAGAATTTTCGCAAGGCATTAAGGCCATGGCAGAGCTTTTAGCAAGTGCTACAGTTGCTATCTTGGTCTTATGCCACATCTTTGTGATCGGCGTGGAAACCAAAAGTCAAAGGCCCGCAAAAACTGGCAAACCTGTCGCAGAAGGCGTCCGCTTGTTTGATGTCCCCATCAACCCTAAACCGAAAGCACTGACAAACTCGAACACATGATCAACTCCGGCGTCCTCGGTCGAAGGAGCTCCCGGCCATCCCGTCCTGGCACGTCTTTGATGAAGAGCCACTTGGTCACAGGCTTTACCACGAAGCCTGAATAGCTAAGTGATGGCTCTTGTAACGGCTTCTTGAAGGGGTATGCAGTATCAGAGCCCTTAAACCCTAAACCCGACTGTTTGAAATTAGCTTTTGGTAGGTTTCTGCAACAAAACTAAATTAGAATATACATATATATATATATAAACTCTAAGGAATGTACGATGGGTATTTTTTGTATAGGCTTCGATAAGAGGCAGCCCCGGTTCGGAGGCTGGAGGCGGTACATTCCCTGAACCCCCGAACCCCTAAACCGCAAACCTCAAAGAACTCACTTGTTTTAGGACGGATAAAAAGAAACTAGAATAAGGAACCCTAAAAAGGTAGGTTATTTGGGGTTCAGGTAAACCGTGAACTTTGTGGCCCGTTTCTTTTCGTTGCGAGGAGGAGGCCAGGCTTTACATGCAAAAGCCCAAGCAAGCACTGACAAGCGCTACAGCCCAATGACATTTGATAATAAAACGAATTCCAAAAATGATAGCAATTTGCAATTGGACGCTGTGCGAGCGGATTCCACACTTAGCGGGCAAGTTACCGCGCTGGCACTCTCAGTGAAACCGAGGTTGGTTTCTTCAAGACTGCATGACCTACCGCAATCTAAAGAGCTTGGGATCGATCCACGTTATGCTGCTCCGTACGGTTTTCACCGGCAAGCACTTGAGGCCTGTGGGCACTCGTGCAGGGTTGCCTGCTACGGCTGCCTCGTATCCCAAGGGACCGGCAAGCACATGAGAGAGCCACAGGACCTCCACATAACAGGACCACGATCAGCTCGGCTAAGAATGGCTCAGAAAGGGTACAAGACGAGCTCCAGGAGTCAGCCGGCGCGAGGAGACATGACCTTGACAGCTAAGCTGAGCAGAACCGCGATCTAGAGGAGCTGCAGTAAGGCTTCACAGAGCTGGCGTGTTGGGACCATTTCTAAGCATGCAAGTGATGACCACAACTCCTTTGGAGACTAGGTGTGCTCAGTTTTGAGCGAGACTCCAGAGGAGTCGATGTCGCTCCGAGAGCCCTGCGCGCTTAGCGATGAAAAGGGTGGGCAAAGCCCCCTCAGCCTCAGGCCTAGAATAAATAATTGGTCCGCTGGAATCAGCTTCCATTTAGGCCTCGCGTATGTAGTAGGCCCCCGGGATGAGGCAACTGCCGTACCACGGAGGACCAGATGCCTGCGATGTGCGTTACACTGTTGGAAAGGAAGTGTGACATGGTGAACATGTCCCCGAATGCAGTTCTGCTCATCCAGACAGTAGTCGCCCTCCTCCGATTCTACGAAAAGGTGCCCTCCCTCAAAGTCGGAAAGAGGGATCAGGAGGTTGGGCACAGACTTGCGGTTCTTATGGTCAGCGTGCAAACCAATTGCTCTGTTCCTGGCCAAGAAGATGGTCGAGTGGCACTCGGTGCCGCACATGGTGTAGATCACAGCGTTCAGGAGGCGATTGATGATGGGGAATCGCCGGGTCTGTGTCCTGAGCCCCACCAGCGTGCCTTGCGAGTAGGCGCCGAAGAAAATGCTCTTCTGATCCGCAGAGGGGGTGATGCTGGAAGAGGAGTGGCGGGAGTCCGGCATGGCCAGGAGACCGTCCAAAAGCAGGCACCAAGTAGCCATCTTGATTGGAATAAGCCTGCCATGGGAAGATCTTGGTACAATGATCTGGTAAAGCGGCCGCAAGTCCGAAGCTCGCATTTCAAGAAAAAAGCGGGCCGAAATCGCCGAAGCTTCCTAACTCCCTGTGCCTTGATGGCGATCCGTTGCCAGGCTTTCCCGCACCAAGCTGCCGTTGGAGTTGCCAAATTTGGCTGCTGGTGTGGAGTGTCAGCGCGCAGCTCCCCGTTGGCGGACCAGAGCCAGGCGTGCAGAACCACAATCGGAGAGCTTGCAGAATCCTTCCAGGAGCCAGGTGGGAAGGGAGAAGAGGGGCTCGGTGGCCTCGGCCAGGTGTCTTTGTCGATCCACATGTTGAGCTCCTTTTGCAGCTAGCTGGGCCATGCGGAGTCCAGGGTTGGTGGAGGGTTAGGGGCCAACGTAGAGCTGGTTCAGGATGGTCCGAGCCAGGCGGTAGTAGTCCCCAAAAGCTGTGCGGACCGGACCAGGCGAGGTTTTGAGCCGGAGGACGATGTGTGTCACCGCCGTAGCCCGAGGCTGGGTAGCCTAAGTGAAGCAGGTAGACCGAGTCTCCTGAGCATCCAGCGTAGTCGATGAGGACAAAACATGCCGGGTCGCAGCGGATCATGATGTTGTCGGCATGGACGTCAGCGTGAACGATCTGCGCCCGATGGAGCATCTCCAGACCCGCTGTGATGTCAAATTTCAACCTGATCACCTCTATGCGAAGGGCCCCCTGTGGAACCGGCCATAGCCTTGGCATGATGGCGCGGGGCCCACAAGTAACATAGACGGTGCTGAGGACGGAAAGTGCGGGAAGGCGGCGGAGCCTGACAAGTTCGCGCTTCCATTCTGTTTCGTCCTGCTGTCGGACCGTCTTGATGACATAGTTAGGGTCCGCTTGACAGGTGTGGACCTGCGAACAGTTGCCACGTCCTATGGCCCCGCTGCTGGTAGAACCATTGAAGAGGGAGCGGAGCACTTTCGCAGGCATTCCCGAATTGGCGGCAAAATCCTGGGACATTTTCTCGAAGGCGGCCTTGACTTCCTTGGTGGGGTCCATGGCCGACCAGGTCGCCATGGCTGCAAGTCTAAAGCAGGCAAAGGAACTGCCGCCTTTAACAATGTGCTGCGGTGGCTGAATGCAGGCCTAGCAGGGCTCTGATGCACAAGCGAGTGGCAGCAGCACAATGCAGCAGCTTTGTTCAACAGCCTGAGTGTTGGATGAAAAAGGCATGGAAATGCAGCCACGGCCAGAGGCCCCTAAAATGCCGCTGCAAGATCACAGAGTGCACCTTGCTCACACCTTGCTTACCTTCTTCTTCCACACCAGTCCTTCCTTGAGGAAGCGGGACCTAGACTTGGTCGTAGGCGTGGAAGACTTTGGCAGCGTCCTCTGCAGTAAACCACCTTCGCTGCGGCCACCCCTTGGGAGGGGTAGGAGGAGTGTTGCGGAGCTGGTCCGATTCGAGCGAGCCAGGACACGGCGTGCCAGCGAGTAGGTGAGCCTCCGACATGCTTCCAGCCAAAGCTGCTCGTAGTACTCCAGACAGTAGGGGAGACCCGGCATGGCTGTTGGCTGTCGCAAACGCTTGTTATTTGAGCCATGACTGAGTGCACTGCAGTGTTCAGGAAAAAAGCTGTGCTAGACTCTTGCTGAGGCTGCTTTTTTCCGCTCAACATTCCGCTCAACAACCATCGAGTAGGTAACAAATTGTGAATGAAGCCTACTCTTGGCCTTGCCGCACGACCAGCCACCTATCAGGCCAAGCCAAACAAACCAAGGGTGAAGAGACGGTGAGCAAGTGGTCCGAGGCCCCTGCTAGCCATGAAAGACTAGCGGTCCGTTGGCTTAGCCCTGGCCTTGCGAACCAGGGCCCCCGGTCCACGCTTGCCCAGGCGCTCACCCTCACATTTCTCCAGGAGGTTGGAGATGAGCTCCGAGAGCCGAGCCAGAGTCGTGTTCAGGACCGGGCGAAAATCTAAGATCAGATGGTCCTTCTTGGCACTCAGTCTTGCAGAGCAGAAGGACACCATGTGAACCAAGCTGGCGTGAGGGTCGGGCCCCAACTCTCGAACCCACTTGGGGAAGTACTTCCGGTCAGATTCGCAAAAACCGCAGGGCGGCGACTCAGCTTTGGCCAGCTCCGTGAGGAGCATTGCCGCCGTGTAGTGCGAACAAGATCCCCAGGATTGGACGCCCCCACTTTGTGCTCAGCCTGCCAAGCACGGACCGACTTGAGCAAAGACTTCGCGAGCAGACAGGATTCCGGGAACTTGAAAAGGATGGAGATTTGGTGCTGAATGAGCGCCAGTTGTTCTTCGTGTAGGAAGAAACCTTGCGAGCTCTTCGGTGCTTAGAGGAGTGATGCGACGAGCGGGCGTGCTTCGAGGACCCCGTCCGTTACCTCCGCTTGCCGTCCCGGCTGGTCCCGCTCGCCCATGGACGTGGCCATGTCCACTTGTAGCGGGGTCCGGCCTACCCGTGTGCTCGCAGTTTAATGAGAAGACGGGGCCAGCACCTGCAAGAGTAGGGCGGTTTCACTGCTTTGTTAAAAAGAGCAAGTACGATCCTTCGCGAATCTTCTGAACGACTGAGGCCGGCTTGCAACCGGTCGGACAGCGTCATCGCCTGCTCGAAATTTGGTGCGGCAGGGGCTGAACCAGAAAGAGCGGTAATGCCCCGAGTGCGCGTGAGCCCCAATGTGGAAAACACCAGAGTGCGCCCTATATGGGTGCCAAGTTCGGTGCTGAGCCTCTCCCCACACAGGGAGATCAACCTCAGTTGTGAGATCGATTGGGGTCTACATTTTGTCGCCATTGGCCCACCTGCAGATAGCTACTGCCAGAATTGAGGGAGCCCAAAGCAGACCTCGCTGAAAGGTGCCGTTACTCCAGGGCAAAACCCTAAACCCTAATTCCTCAACCCTAAACCCTAAAGCCTAAACCCGAAGCCCCAAACCCTAAACCCTAATTCCTCAACCCTAATCCCTGAACCCTCAACCCTAAAGCCTAAACCCTAAGCCCTATATAAACCCTAAACCCTACAGCTGAGAAAGTTTCGGGAATCCGAAAGCTTCGAAATACCTGGTAAAAACCAACGAAAACAAAACGTGTGTGCGGGCTGGACGCGGGAAAAGCCGTG